AGAGACCATCAGACATCCAGAGGGGTTGGAGAGGCCATCAGACATCCAGAGGGATGGAGAGACCATCAGACATCCAGAGGGGATGGAGAGACCATCAGACATCCAGAGGGATGGAGAGGCCATCAGACATCCAGAGGGATGGAGAGGCCATCTGGACCTGGAGAGCAGCAGGGGAGTGGAACCATCCCAGGAGCAGGAGGGTTTAGGGCAGGCAGGGCAAGAGGGGAAGGAGCTCAATTTGAAGAGTGGGCTGAGAGTCCTCGTGGGTACAAGACTTGGGTGAGCTGGTGTGTCAGAGAAGTCTTCTCCTGAAGTCCAGGGACAGCGCTCTGAGGGCAGTAACAGGCCTTAACTGCCCTGAGCAACCTTCCCACACCTCTGCCCATGGCACAGGGACTCTGCTTGAGCTCAGGGCTGGGCCTTCACCTCCTTCCTGTGCTTTGCTGCAGCTGCCCCCGTGTTCAGATGTTCTTGAATTGTTTGCATTCCCCAGGTTCACCTTGGACCTGACTTTTCCCCTTGCCTTTGATGACCATGGGGCTGTTGATGGGGCCTGTTGTGTCCCCCTTTGCTCACCCACGTAGGTGCACCCAGTCCCTTCCCCCAGGGAAGAGCCCAGCTCTTCCTGCTCCCCAGCATCCAGTTCTTACAGGCTTTTCCCTGCTGGGCTGCCTGGTCTGGCCCTGTGACCGGCAGTGAGCACCAGCACTGCCCACCCTGGGCCACAGTCACACGGAGAACTCGTCACACGCGGCTGCCACGGGGTGTTCGGGGGTAAAACGCTCAGCTGCCACCCTGATGTGGTAAAAACCCTCACAAGGCCATCAGGGACCGTGCAGCTGCCAGCCAAGCCAGGGGGACGGGGTGATATCAGACCTGCTTTGGGCCAGGGCCCGGGGCAGCCTGGCTGGGCGTCATCTGGCCTGTCCCTGCCGGGGCGGGAGGTCGGGTTACCCCGGAGCACACGAGGGCAGCTCCTCTCCCTCCGTGGGGCTGGGTCAGGTGAGCTCCACTGCACCTCCTCTGGCACGTACCAGTTCCACTGGAAGGACGCTGGAAAAGGTGAATCAGAAACCTATTTTGGTTATCCCAGTTTGATTTTCCCAATTTGGTTCTCCCAATTTGGTTATGCCAGTTTGGTTTTCCCAGTCTGATTCTCCCAGTTTGGTTATGCCAGTTTGGTTTTCCCAGTCTGATTCTCCCAGTTTGGTTTTCCCAGTTTGATGATCCCAGTTTGGTCCTCCCAGTTTGATTATCCCAGTTTGGTTCTCCCAATTTGATTATCCCAGTTTTGTTCTCCCAGTTTGATTATCCCAGTTTGATTATCCCAGTTTGGTTCTCCCAGTTTGATTATCCCAGTTTGGTTATCCCAGTTCAATTATCCCGGTTTGGCTATTCCAGTTTGGTTATCCCACTTTGGTTATCCCAATTTGGTTTTCCCAGTTTCGTTTTTCACAGTTTGGTTCTCCCACTTTGGTTTCCCAGTCTGGTTCTCCCAATTTGGTTTTCCCAGTTTGGGTTTCCCAGTTTGGGTTTCCCAGTTTGGGTTTCCCGGTGTGGTTATCCGGGCTGCTTGGCCCATCCTGTTTTTTCTGGGATTGAATTCCTGGGGCATTCCCAGGTGCCCCGGCTGTGCTGAGGGTGGGGTTGTTGCTGTGGTGGCTGAGGGAGGGGACAGGGCCGAGCAGCAGGTGAAAAAGCAGCTCTGGTGACAACGACCCTCAGTTTGTGGTGTCGCTGAACACCCCGTAAGGTCCCAAGTGCTTTTGGGTGCTGCAGGAACTCGTGTTCTTCCACTCCCAGGGGCTCCCAGCCCTGTGGCAGAGGCTGCAGGACAATGAGAGGGGAGTTTGGCTTCACTCCCTGGGGTGAGTGGGGAATGGGGGGGATCCCCAGCACTTATCTGGCAGGGTTTCTGTATTTCAGTCCCACCTTTCCCTCCATGTCTGGGGTGAACGCTGAGCTCCTGGCTGTGGGGCAGGAGGGTTGGGGCTGCACAGAGTCAGCCTCTCCACAGCCAAGCCTTCCAGTGCTTCCTGAAGCACTGTGGCCTTTGGAAGCAGCAGGAATTGTACAGCTCAGGCACCCAAAGGCTGTGTCACGCTGGACGGATCCTGGAGAGGTGGCACAGGTGACCAAAATCTGTCTTTCCCTCAGAGAGATGCTGTTCCAGCAGCTGCCTCCTGGTTTGGCATGGGAGTCGAGCTGGTGTGAAGCAGGGCTGTGTGCTGAGCTTGGACACCCCTGCCTGCAGTCTGAGGGCTGGCTGGGGTGGGACAACAAGGACAACTCCCTGGTGTCCACATCCAACTCTCTGGGACCCCACACTGCTCGAGCACAGAGGCTGAGGTGAGCACAGAAGGGATTTGCCTTTGTCACAGCAAAGGTTCAGGGTTCTCAGAGTTAAAATGGGTCATTTCTGTGTTTTATCCTCATTTGAATTAGAAGTGAGAAGGTTTCATGCCCTCAGTACAATCCCTAGCACACAATTCAATGGCTGGGTTACAAACACGAAAGGGGAGAGGGCCAGGGCTGGCTGAGCTGTCAGTGTTTTAGGATAATACCCTGAGGGAGAGTAACAAAATCTGCCTGTGTCATAAATAATGCTGAATGGCTTATTTTGGCAAAGAATTTTCATTCCTGACAAATGCCATTTCGAGACAACCAATAACCACCTGCTAATTTGGGATGAAATTAGAATTGGACTCTGACATCCCCAGGTCAGCTCAGATGCAGTGTTTGGTGGGTTTCCAGCAGAGTCTCTCACATGGCTGATAGGAAATAATCTTTATGAGGCTGTCAAAGGGAAGGGAATGCCCAGCCTTACAAATCCTTGAGCTGGTTTATTGGGAAGGCCTATGTCAGAGGATTGCTAAGTAAAGCACATTACATAAGGCTGCCCTTTGGGTCGCTGAGCTCTGGTAACTGGCACATAATTTCAAGTCTATCAGACTGATTTCAGCATCTCCTGAATTGTCAGTACCTCTCTGCTTTTTGAGGCAGAAGATGGGTTTTCTCTTCTGCAGACCTTCTGTGGTTTGGTGACTGTAAATGTGCTTAAAGATGTGTAAATGTGATTCTTTGGATATGTCACCTGCACTTTTTAGCTTGAATCTGTCACAGCACAAGCTCAGCAGGTTGTGTGGCAGCTCAGACTCTCTCTTTGACAGGGAGGATGTTTAGCTATTGAAGGGCAAGGTAGGAAATCCTCAGTTGACCTCTGTGATGTCAAGGCACTGAGAATCCAAACTCAAACTCTGGTTGATCTAAAGTGAGAGCTAGGGAATGATATTCCCATTTGGAAAGTCCATTAAAAGTACAGGCAAACCTGCTCTCCTCCCACCGGTTCCTCTTCCTGCCTTTGTTGTGCCTTCATGTCATTAGTTGCTTTCCAAGGCGTGGGGCACCAGAGGTAGTTTTATGCAGGGGGGCAACAGGCCCCTTGCCTGGTGTGTGGGAATTTACTTTCAACTGCTTAGAAGCCAAACCTTTGAAAATTATGTTTGCTTTAGGTTCTGACCTGTCCTGTTGGATGAGGCTGGACTGGGTGCTGTGATTCCAGGCCAGGTCACATCCCTGGGGCTGCAGGGTTTGCCCACCTTCCAGTGCTTGGAGAGCTTCATGTCCAGCCTCTCCCACAGGCACTTTTGCTTCCTTGGAGAGGACAAGACAGATAAGGCTGAGCTTTATCCTGATCTGCTTTGTAGAACCCCTGATGTGCTCACGTCTAACTCACAGGGCTGCCTGGGCTTGCCTTTGAAATGGCAGAGTGTGGCTGCCATCCTGCCCCGAGCTGGGACCTTCCCTGAGTGAGGAACACAGGCCAGGGAACACCAGGAATGTCTGCAGCCTGCAGACCTGGGGAGGGTGGGAGCAAGGAGAGCTCTGGGTGCTCCGTGGGTGCCCACCGCTCTCTGCCAGCTGAGGGAACTGTGTCTGTAACCTTTTCATCCCCTGCCCTGGGTCTTTGATTTTGGGACTTTGTCTCGTTTCCCTCAAGATTTCCCTCCATCAGCTCCAGGTGACTCTGGATAAATGTCTCCCAGCAGAGAGAGGCTTTACTGACAAGCCAACCAAGCCTGGAGGTGTCTGATCTCCATTTCCAGCCTGACCCAATGGTTCCTAATCCCCTGTTAGAACCTTGCACACCTTTTATTCCAAAGGATTGTAGGTGACAGAGGCTGCTCTCAGCTGTGTAACAGGAGTGCAGGCTCGTGCCTCTCCATGCTGATAAATCCACATTAACACTGTGAGCTGGTGCTGTGAAGTGCTCTGTCCATCCCTTTTAATACTCAAAGAGTTATTTTGAAAAAGGAAGGTATGTGGAGAAGCCTCATCTTTAAATGTACTTGGTCACCTACTTTTTATCTGAAGTTCAATTTATCTTGTCCATCAGGGACCCTTTAAACCACCCAGAGCCCTTCAGCTGCATCGAAGTTTGCAATGACTCGCTGTGAAGAGGAAACACAATCCCCAGAAAAAGCTCCACTCTGACTGACCTGTGAAATGCTGAAGAATTTTGTTCATCTCAAGTTTGTCCAGCACCATTACTGGTATGGACTAAAATAATAACGAATAGGAGGCAGGTGCTCCGGGTTCCCATAAAAAACCAGATCCTCTGGATGTCTGGCGGGCTAACAGCCCTGTGACAGGCGACACCGGCCAGGGCAGGGCCAGACAGCCCCCGGGAGGGAAGGGACAGGGACAGGAGGGACAGGGAGAGGAGGGACGGGGAGAGAAGGGACAGGGAGAGAAGGGACAGGGAGAGGAGGGACAGGGAGAGGAGGGACAGGGAGAGGAGGGACAGGGAGAGAAGGGACAGGGAGAGAAGGGACGCGGGAAGGCGAGAGGAGGGAGCAGCTGAGGAGGCTCCGGGGACCCAGCACTGCCCCACCGAGCTCTGCCTGCACAGGGACCGGCCGAGCTGCGGCTGCCCCCAGCACCCGGGCAGGAGGGACGTCGGGTGGCACAGACATCGGTGGCACGGGAGTGGGTGGCAAGACGTGGGGTGGCACAGACGTCGGGTGGCACAGACATCGGGTGGCACAGACGTCGGGTGGCACAGACATCGGGTGGCACGGGCAGGTGAGTGCTGGGACCTGCTCCAGACAGGGGCTGTGTTTGCTCTGAGCCCAGGTGGGTCTGAGCTCCTTGTGATCACCTTCATGAGGCAGAAAAGGTGGAGGGACAGACCCTGAGGGGGGACAGGCTCTGTGGAGGGACAGGGTGAAAAGGAGAGCGATGCCCTCTCTTCTGATTTTTTCCTATATTTCCTTTTTTCTATATTTTTTTTTCTGTATTTGCTTTTTTTCTGGATGGGACTTTGAGAACCTGGTCAGGTGAAAGGTGTCTCTGCCCATGGTAGGAGGTGGAACTAAATGAGCTTTAAGGTCCTTTCCAACCCAAACCATTCCAGGATTCTATGATTCTGTGATTTTGGTTATTTCTCTGCTGGATGCCAGTATAATTTTCTGACTCTAGATTACGCCTATTTCATTTTGATATTTTCATGCTGGATGAAGAGAGAGTTTGACAGCTAACAACCTTCAGCAGGAATGGGACAGCATTCCCAGAAATGGTGCATTAACTGTGCAGGCACAGGTCAGGCAGGGCACTACCAGGACAGTGCTGGAATTAATTCCGGCGTCCCACGCAGAAGGTGGGAAGGTGGCACATGCTGGGGCCTCTCGGGGCTCCAGGGAGAATTTCTTACCATTTATTTCAGTGTCAAACTTCCCCACACAGGGAATGAAATGTTAAAATAGCTCGTCAGGCAAGGACAGGGCTTTTTTCATCTGTTGCCACTGGCAGGTTGGGGTAGCAAATAAATAAACAAACCAGAACTGGGGGGGTTTGTTGTGTCTGGTTTGAAGCAGGGAGGGGAACTGAGAAACAGCCTCGTAACTTCAATCCCTGGTGGCATCTGAATAGCACAAGTTCTGTTATTTTTTTTATTTACTGCAGGCACTGAGCTTTATTAACCCTCTGCCTGCCCAAGGGGTGGCACATGCAAAGTGGTTCCAACACACACAGTTAATTTTAGCCGGAGAAGGACATTTGGCAAAGTCCAGTGCCCATATGGGGTCAAATGGAAGGGGCACAGACATGTCTTGCTCTCTGAGTGGGTTAAAATGTGCTTTTCTTCAGTGTCTCGGAGTGGAAAGTCCTGAGGGGGGGAAGTGTCTGGTCACATGTTGATGTTTAATCACATCTTCGGTGAGTTTATATTAAACGTGTGTTGCCCGCTATCTTGTTTTTTCCATGTGGAAAAGGGCAAGTAAATTCCAGCACTGGCCAGCACAGGTGTGGGAACATGCAAGAAGGATAGTCCTGGGAGCAGCTATCCCCAGGGAAAGCAGGAGTGTTGGATTTATGGGCTCCATCTCAGTCCTGGATCGTGCTGCCAAACCCCTCCGGTCAGTCACGGATGCAAACCTTGAACTGGTCCTGGACTGGGGAAGAGCAGGAATTTGGTGTGCTCTGGGAAGGAGGGAGCTGAACTGCAGTGTGAAGGCAGAGCACTGCTGCCTCTTGGATCCTCACCCCAGTTCCAATCTCCTCCTGCTGAGTTGCAGCTCAGCAGGAGCTGCAGTGGGTCCAGTCCTGGCTCTGTGTGGGCAGGGCTGACAGACCTCAGCTCACTGCTGGCAAAGGGGCACACTGGCATTTGGGTGGGTGTGGGGGGGAATAACCAAGGCTTGGAGACTCAGTGGGTCCCCTAATTTCTCCTGGAGGGTCTGATGTGGGTGATGTGCTGCTGAGGGACTGGGCTGAGCTTGGCTGTCTCCCACTGAAGGGAGCAGCACGTTCTCCAGACTTGGTACCTCAGCTTCATTTAAATCCAAATATTACAAGTCCAGAAGAGTCACTGTGGCACCCATATGCATTGTGGGACTATTCCTGGTACAGGGCATCCTCCTGGTCAAACCAAAGTGCTGCTGTGTCACCCCCCTGGCCCGTGGCCTGAGCTGGACAAACAATGTCCCTTTGCTTGCACAAGATCAGCGTGATCAGCCCTGCCAGACTCCCCTGACTCGGGGTAGGATGTTGGGTGCTTGTAGAGTTGCAGGTACTTGGTAATCTTCACTGAATTTGGACCTTTAATCCATTTTCCATGCCCAAGTCTCTCCTTAAATGACTACAGATTTTTGGGTTTCCTTGCCTGGTGTTTGTGGGATGCTCACTGCTGTTACATCAAGGTGGACTTGAAACGCCGAGCTCTGCACATCTTCACCCGTTACATCTCTGAATATTTCTGCTCCAAAACCTCCCTGACATCCCCTTGACCCTCAGTGCAGTGCCTGCCTGGACACCCCACGCTGCAGGGGAGTGCTGTGGCTTGGCCAAGTGACTCACATACGAGACCAGTCTTTGAACTTGGTCATTTGTTTACGAACTGGAAAATCCAGCCAGTTTTTTGAACCTACCTTGGTTTCTTCAGTTCCTGCTCTGTCTGAGCCATGTGGTGGGTGCCAAGAGTCTGAAGGAAGGGCTGTGCCAGTTGGAGAGGGAGGACTTCGTGCTGGTGTACCAAGGAAGGGAAAACAGAAGATTAGAAGAGTCTTGTTTCCAGTTAAATCAGACTCTTAAATTCAGTCCTGAAATAACTGTCCTGCAGCTGTTGCCTCTTGCCACTTCCTCTCTGCCTTTCCTTAGTGGAACAGACTTTCTTCCAGGGAAAAATGTGTCCCCTCTGCAGCGAAAGCAGCGGCCACTGCTGAATGTGCCAGGCCTTGCTGGGACATCCTGCAGGTTCCCAGTGGCTCCTCCACTGGCACACAGGGATTGTTCCTCCACTGGCACACAGGGATTGTTCCTCCACTGGCACACAGGGGTTAACAGGGCTTTGGGTGGGCGGGTGGAAACCAAGCTGTGAAATGGAAGAAGGTCAGGCTCTTGGAGGAGTTTGCTCTGCCGCAGATGGTTTTGAGTTATCTGCCCATCTGTGGAGAGGTCTCCATTCCTTCCCCCCCAAGAAAACTGTAAAACCAGCTCTGGAAATAAGGCAAAGCCCAATCAGGCTCATGGCTGCAGTGGAACAGGCAGAGTGGTGGCTCTCCTGGTACTTGCTAGACTCAACTGTCTGTCTTATTAGGAATTCCTCAGTTATTCAGAACCCAACACCTAAATGCCATTGGAGACTAAAAACCATTGGCACTTTTCTGTGGGGAACAAATGACTGGAAAGGGAAAAGAGGAACAGAAGGAATCCCTGTGGCTCTGGGTGGCTCAGGCCCTTTGGGATAACTCTGCTCTTGCTGCAGCTGATGAAAGCTGAATTCAGGTTTCAGTGGAAGCCAAGAAATGTTTCCTCTGGGACCATTCCCGTGGCCTTCACCAGGTGTTACCGTCTTTAGGGACTTGTCTAGCAACTGGTTTTTTAATTTTAAGGCTACAGCAAACAACCAACAAAGCAACAAACTGCTGTCCTGGACCAGTAAGAGCAAAGCCTAAGGAGGCCCCCTTGGGATGGTCATCGGCCAGAGCAGGGGGAGGAGGGTGCTGTGGGAATCCCACTGGGACACTGCTGGAAAACAGTGTCTGCTGCTGAGAGGATTTTCCAGCAGCAGTCCGGATTTTCCAAATCCTTGTTGTCCGATTTTCTGGGCTCATTGACTTTCAGATTGTTTGGAATTGCTTTTACTTTTGTATCACTGCAAATGTCCCAGGGGATGTGGGACTGAAGGATCTCAGCCCAGGTGTGGGCTAAGATTGACATGGTTTGCTTAGGAACTGGGAAGGTAGAAACACTGTCACCAGCAGTAACAGTCAAAAAGAAAGAAGGAATGAAGAAAATTACCCCCGAATTTCATTTTCACATTTATCTTTTAAATTGTGGCTTGAAATGATGGTTCCCAGACCAGCAAGGGAGAAGTTTTTGAGACCTGATTGAGAATCTTTTTTCTAAGACCAGTGGAAACAGTGCTCTCTGAGGTTATTCTGTCTTCATCCCATCTAACATGAGTCTTAGCTGTAGGACCAAGGTTTTTCTGTATGTTCCCTTCGCCGCTAACCTCAGATTTTAGAATTGTCACCTCCCGGTAGAAAACCAGAGGAAAACCTTGTTCTGGTTCTGCCAGCCCAGACATCATGTGAACCATGGCCACCACAGTAAAAATACTGCTCTGGAGCCAGCCCTTCCTCCCTGAGCTGAGCACGAGGATTTAATATGAATATATTCACACAATCCAAGTTAAAAACAATGGTTGGATGCTCTCAGCCAGAAGTGAACGAAAGTAGACTTCAGACCGAGTGGGTTTTGCTCCCAGCATGTGGTGCTGCTGGGAGAAGAGAGCCTTCAGCCCCAGACTGGCCACCACTTGATAGTCAGGAACCAAACAGAGGTCCCTTTGCTTCCAGGGGAGCTTCCTGAGGAGAGGAAGGAAGGTTTACAAGCTGCAAAGGCAGACTGGTAGCAAGAGATTTGGGGGCACAACGTGCTGCACTCGCACTTCCAGAGTAAACCTGTCCATGGGAATCACAGGATGGTTTGGGTTGGAAGGGACCTTAAAGACCATCTGGTTCCAACCCCCCTACCCTGGGCGGGGAACCTTCCACTGGTGGAAGAAGTGGCTGCTCTCGGGAAAGGGATCAGGCTGTGGCTGTGTTGGAAGCCAAAATGGCACATCGAGGTGTCTTTGGGCTGCAGCAACAAAGATCCTCCAGGAGCAACTGGATTTCTTTCAGACCTCTTGGAACAGCACAAACTGAGAGGCTCTACTGGTGAAGGCCAAGCCCAGGCATGGCTGGCCCAAACACAAATGCAGTAATCCACTGGTTTTACTTCTCTGCTGAGGGATTATGGGATCTCCTGAGAACTCGTGGCGCGTCCAACAGAACTGCGTGTGCAGCTCGTCCTTCCTTGGATCTGCACCAGTGTTTGTCCTTTTTTGAGGCACAAGGTGTTGCCTTTGGAGCTCCAGCCTTGCCCTGACTGATGGTCGCGTCTGGCCGGGCTGGCCCCGTGCCGTGTCCGTGCCGTGCCAAAGGCTCCGGGTTCCACGGCACGTCCCCTGGGCCGGGGCCGTGTGGGGCTATAAGGAGCCCCCCACAAGTGCCCACAGCACAGCGTGGGGACATCCTGGAGGTATCAGCAGCTCCTGAGCGCGGTCTGAGCTCTGGGACGGTGGAGAGGGACAAGAATTTCTGTTGCCATTTGGTGACATTTGCAAGGGGCTGATGAGGGGCGTGTCTTGTCTCCTGCAGATCTCTAAATACCTGTGGCCAGGGGCCCGCGGGGCAGCGATGAGGAGCTCTGCGCTCTGAGGCACCACACGGAGCCACCACGGTCCCGGGAGACACAGCAGCGACCTCGAGCAGGGCCATCCCAGAACCCGTAAGGTAACGAGATGGTCACGTCACCGCCGGGGTTCGTGTGGGGCTGGTGCAGAGCTGGGGGCATGAAGGGCCACCCTCGCTGTCATGGGGGACTCTGCAGGAGGTCTGAAAATGGTTGTGAATGTTATGGGAGAAGTGGGATCCTGTAGGATTGGGTCCTGTAGGGTTGGGCTCCTGTAGGGTTGGGCTCCTATAGGACTGGGCTCCTGTAGCATTGGGATCCTGTAGGGTGGGGTCCTGTAGGGTTGGGGTCCTGTAGGGTTGGGGTCCTGTAGGGTTGGGCTCCTGTAGGGTTGGGGTTCTGTAGGGTGGGGTCCTGTAGGGTTGGGCTCCTGTAGGGTTGGGCTCCTATAGGGTGGGTCCTGTAGGGTTGGGCTCCTATAGGACTGGGCTCCTGTAGCATTGGGATCCTGTAGGGTGGGCTCCTGTAGGGTTGGGGTCCTCTAGGGTGGGGTCCTGTAGGGTGGGTCCTGTAGGGTTGGGCTCCTGTAGGGTTGGAGTCCTGTAGGGTGGGGTCCTGTAGGGTTGGGCTCCTGTAGGGTTGGGCTCCTATAGGGTGGGCTCCTGTAGGGTAGGGCTCCTATAGGACTGGGCTCCTGTAGCATTGGGATCCTGTAGGGTTGGGGTCCTGTAGGGTTGGGGTCCTGTAGGGTTGGGGTCCTGTAGGGTGGGTCCTGTAGGGTTGGGGTCCTGTAGGGTTGGGCTCCTATAGGGTGGGTCCTGTAGGGTTGGGCTCCTGTAGGGTTGGGCTCCTATAGGGTGGGTCCTGTAAGGTTGGGCTCCTATAGGACTGGGCTCCTGTAGCATTGGGATCCTGTAAGGTTGGGTCCTGTAGGGTTGGGCTCCTATAAGGTGGGTCCTGTAGGGTTGGGTCCTGTAGGGTTGGGCTCCTGTATCCCTGGGCTCCTGTAGCACCCACTGATTTCCCAAGGAAGATGACAGGCTGTTGAGGATCTCCTGTACCTGTCCCATGGAGCTGACACTGCATTTGTGGCACAGGTACACTGAGGTTCCTAAAGGTTTTTATCTTGGGCTCATCATTTCTTTGGACAGTAAGTTGGGATATGTTATTTTTCCTTCCTGGCAGTAGGACTCTGTTGTAGATGCCCTGTGACACTTGCTTTTGATCTGTTGACTGTGTGAAAGTGCCTGTCTGTGTTACAAAAGAATTCCTGGAGGTGTTGTGGACATGGGAGGGGACAGCCTGACCTGCTTCACCAAAGGGGGGTGAATTCATTGTCCTGCTCACCCTTAGAAAATACAGCTGGTGTGTGTTGCCTCTTGGCCTTTGGCCTCAGTGCCACTGTGCTAAATAAACGGGGGCAGAGTGTCTGGTGTTTGTGTACAGGGATCAGGGGCAGAAGGAGCAACCACTTACGTTGTGTTTGTAATCCCTGAGGCAGAGGAGAAGATCAGGGGGAGTATAGATTTACTGAGGGGATAAGTCACACAAAATCTGATCCTTGGGCATTCCTCCTCACTCTGCACAACACCTCCATTCATCACTGGGGAGCTCGTGACGTTCCCCCTCTGTGACCTGCTCAGAACTTTGCATGAAGCTGCACTTCTGCAGTTGCTGGTCTTCAATTCTGTGGTTCTAACCAAGGGCTTGGAGATTGTCCTGTAGAAATGTGCAGTGGGGAGACAAGCTCAAAAGATTGCTTCAGGTTAACAAATAAACACAGAAAGCCCACCCAAAGCTAAAAGAGAAATTTTAGGTGAGAGATCCTTCTTCTCAGTGAGTACCTGGGTCTCTGGGGTAAAGCACATCTGGAATTTGGAGCTAAACACACAACAGTTTGGTATTTTGGTTAGAAGGTTTGCTGTGTTAGGACTGCCTTGATTTTTATGAATTTCGAAGAGAAATTCAAAGAGAGATACAAAGAGAAAAGGAGGTCAGAGGAGGTTTGGGCTGGATCTCAGGAAAAGGTTCTTCCCCCAGAGGGTGGTCAGCTCTGAACAGGCTCCCCAGAGCAGTGGGCACAGCCCCAAGGCTGCCAGAGCTCCAGGAGGGTTTGGACAGGGTGGGATTGTTGGGGTGTCCTGTGCAGGGCCAGGGGTTGGACTGGATGATCCTTAGGGTCTCTTCCAGCTCAGGGGATTCTCTGATTTTATGATTCTGTGCTCCTATGCAATAGAATGCTGCATCTGTTGCTGATTCCTTTATTAATAATGCTAATTTAAGCCTGTGTCCATGGCTTTGTCCCCCCCACGTGCTGTGCTTGTGCAGGGCCTCTGGACCCACCTCCCTGTGAACCTCCCATTGCCCAACACTTCCCCACAGGTTTGGCTAATTTTGCTCACCAGCCCCTGCCAGCAATTATGTCACATCTTGTCTGTGTATTCCACCGTCTGAACCCCATAAATAACTCCTTGTGACACCACCAGCACCTACAAATCCTGTGACTCCCAAATGTTCTGCTTCTGCGCTCGGCTGATTTATGGCCCCAGCACTGTGTCCAGTCAGGCTCTGGGGACAGGGCTCCTGCTCTGCTCATCCAGACTGAGGGACAGACAGGATGAGGGGCAGGCTGGCTTATTTTGGTACATTAGATATTGCTGGTAGCCAAGGCTTTGCCACATCTCCAGAGGGGGTGTCTGTGCAGCTGCACGGAATTCCACCTGGGATGGGGAATGGCCAAGGCTTGGATTGGCTAATGCACAACACTGCTGTGTTTTCCAGAGGAGTGAGGGTGTTGAGCTCCTTCCAGTGTCTCCCTGTTGTGCTGGGGGTGTTGGTCCACAGCACTCCCCTGGGGAGGAGAGATTCCCTCTTGGAAGCATTTCCTTGCCTCCACTGAACAAGTCACCCTGATGTGGGCACCGAAGTTTCAGACACCTCTGAGTGAAGACATGACACTGTGACCATTTTTGCTGTCTCGTTCGAAAAATCCTGTGATTTCTTTTTCTGGATTGAACTGGAGTCAAAGCACAGACATGGGCATTCATGTAACAGGGGAGTAGAAATTTTAAAAGTGAGAAGGGCAGGGTTTGATGAGTCCATGCCAACCAGTGTGTTATTTTCTGGTCCTTATTTCACACACAAGACACCAGAAAATGTGATGTGGCTGGATTAATTACACTGAAGGAATGTTCCCTTGCATGCCCTGGCACTGTTATTTTAACTGTGCAATCAATGTGTGGCATTAACATGCTTCGTTCTCATTCTCCAGAAGTCAGCAATTCACAGCAGTTTAAGGACTCACAGCAGCTTATCTTTAATCCAAGTGAATTTCTGAAATATTTAAGACCCTGTAAACTCAGCAGTTTATCCATAGTGCACGTAGTGCATGTTGTGCACTGGGAGATGCAGACATGGAGCCTGTGTACAAATATTGTTAATATTTGGGCTTTTTACAAAACTAGATTTGAACGTGGCCATTTCTCAATTGGTTTGAACTATGTTTACATATACCCACGGTCCCACATGGCTGAGAACAACAGTTTGGCTTGAAACATTTGGTAATTTAAAATAGTAATAAGATTCTTGATGGCTTTGGACCTGAGAGTTTGGACCATGTTCATGTTTCAGTGTTGATGCTTCTCACCATTGCCTGGTGGGGAGGGGAAGAAGTTGGGAGTAGCAAAGAATGAATGTAAGTACAACATAAATAGAGCTTAGTGAAAGCTGCTGCAGGCTGGTGTCAGGTAATCCTGCTTGGTGAACGTTGTAAGCACCAGGCATTCGAGCCCCAGGAGTGGTGACATGTTTAGGTGACAAGGGAGATACAAGAGGCAATAGGGGATTATATTTGCTGGGAGGACAAATTAAATCCATCAGAAGAGGGTGATCAAGAGCCTCTCAAAATCTCAGCCATTCACTGTGCAAAGCTCTGCCCGGGGCAGGGCAGGGTGCCCTGGAATCAGCTTCCTTTCCTTTCGGTTTTGTGTCTTTCCCCTGACACGAGCTGCTCCTTACCTTCATTTGCAAGTTCTGAAACATCTTCCAAAGGTTGACAGAGGTCACTGTAAAACCCTGTTTACAAGGGTTTGCAGGAGGAACTGCCAAAACAGCGGCACCCAAGTGAGATGTGGAACTCCTGTGGTGGTGGGGAGAGCAGGAGTCACTCACAGCAGGGCAGGGAGGGACAGGGAGAGGGGATGACCTGGCTGGTGCTCATGGGGAGAGCAGGAATCACTCACAGCAGGGCAGGGAGGGACAGGGAGAGGGGATGACCTGGCTGGTGCTCATGGGGAGAGCAGGAGTCACTCACAGCAGGGCAGGGAGGGACAGGGAGAGGGGATGACCTGGCTGGTGCTCACACAGCCCCGGGATCATCTCCCATGTCTGTTGTCTCAGTGCATTTCCACTGAGGTCAGTGAGTCTCAGGAGTGATATTAATTACTGATGAGATCTGTGTAGCGTGCAGAGACCCAAAATAAGACTTTATTTTAAGGCAACAGTGGAGCCAGTGAGTTGTTGTGGGGAGGTGCCTGTGGCTCTTTGCAGCCACTGAGTAGTGGAAAATCAAATTTTGGTTCAGAATTCGACACAGAAGTACTGTGAGTGATACTTTCTTTGGCCTGTCTATGAGGCACACAGCACAAATTATTTTTATTTATTAATTGTTTTACCTTTGGCTGAAAGCAGGTTTCCCCCAGGTGATGCAGCTCCGAGCTGGGTGTGGAGCGGGAGGTGTTGGGGTCATACTCTGGGTTTTCACCACGTGCCTGTGACACTTCTCAGCTGGACGAAGGCCTGACGTAGGTGTGCTCCCAAAGTCCCCATGCCTTTTAAAACTGATGGAAGCTGCATGTTCCTGTGTGCCTCTCCTGACTGAAGGAGTGCAGAGGGTAAACAGGGAGCAGCATCGATCCCACGGGGGAATCCAATCCAACTGCTCTTGCAGAGCTGCAGTAACTCTAGAGTTTGTGAGCATCTCTCATGTGACAAGGGATCTGCCTTCCCAGTTTGCCTTCAGGACAGGGATGTGTTACATTACACATTGTCCAGTTTAAAGTACAAGGAAAGAGACGCCTCTGGCAGAAGGTCACACGAGTGATCCATGACAATAACTGCTTAATTCCCAGCTCACACTTCACCATTTCCTTCTAAAGTCTTCTGCTCTGCTCTCGGGTCTGTTGCTAATTTAAACAAGCTAATTTAGATCAGGATGTGCTTCTGCTTCATGCCCCAGTTTAGACATCCATGTCTGTGGCTTTCTTCTCGGCAACTGCTCTCGCCATCCATCAGAACTCCCCATGTGAGTGCCATGTGATGTAATATTTGCCTGAAACACGAGAGGAGGTGTTTGGAGGAGAGCCAGGTGCCATGGGCAGGGAAGGGGTGGCAGAGGGATGCTGTTGGATGTGTGCATTTCCCACTCAGCCCTTCCAGTCGTTCTCCTGCCCAGTTTGGGCTGGTTCAGAACCGTGCTGGGATGTGTCCTGAGAGGACACGTCGATTGGCAGCTCTGTCTCAGCCTGGCTGGGAGTGAGGAAGGGCAAACTGTGCCAGTGAAGGGAGCAGTTTCAAGGTCTGTCCTTTCCCTTGTGAACTGTGAATAATGCAGTGATTTGTCCTTTTTCCCAGGAAAACCCCCGACCTGTTTGTGGTGATCCCAGAAAGCTGAGCAGGGCACCATGACCCA